GAAATACGCGGGTGGAGAGCTTACGACCAGATCTCGGTTGCATAGCTCCACCACAGACTCCAGCATCTTCTCATTGGTCCGAGATGAGAACAGCCCGATGTAATGGTACGTCAGTTTTACACTGGAAATAATCGCTCACACTACAGAAGACACTACTGTTGGCTTTCAGGGGGTGGGGATCGTCCTCAAAGAGTGACAAACGTATTATTGGTTTTTCCCTCACGGTTTACATTCCTTCATTTTCTAATGTTTTGAGGAGTGTTTGGACTTTGACTCACATAGTTTTATTCTAAATTTCTTGGTTTGTGGTTAAAGTAAAAGTAAAAAGGGTTTGGAACTGCTTTTTTTTTTGCTAGATGACCAGTTAGCTGCTCTCTATTTGTGACCTCTGGTGTGTTTTGCTGGATCAAACTGATCTCTGACAATCATTTGCCACCTCTGAATTTCTCAGTAATTAATATGTTATGTGGCCAATGAATGTTTACATGCTGGTAACTAGAGACCAACTGCACAAAGCTTCAAACTCTGTTATTTTGTCTTCCAAAAATGCTTAAATCATCAGCTGAACATGAAAGAAGATAAAATGGAAGATATTTTAATAGATTTTTTTTTTTTTATAATATTCGGGGTTTTTTTTTCGTATGTTATGAATGAAATTCAAAGTTTAGAACAAGTTTTGGGAGTAAACTATTATAATTTGCTTTACAATCATCATTTTGTGATGTGAGAGGTGCAGATGTGACTCAAGAAGCACTTTAAGTATAGCTTCAAATGGTAATATATTTGATATGTTTGGGTTGGTTGTACTTTTAATTCACTGACAGATTAGTGTGAGATTTTGGAGTATAGAATGATTTTACTTGATTGATTTTTATATTGAGAAAAATCAAGTATGTCTTGATAGAATGTAATGGAATCAATGTTTACACAGAAGTTTGTTGATCAATGCAATAAAGCTTATAACCATAAAGTTTGGTTTGTTTTTACGTTCAATTATTTTTTTTTTGTATTCAAAATTGTCACACAATTTTACCCAGTGACTGTTTTTTTAATGGTGCGTTTCCTCTGCATTAAATGACTGACTGACATAAAATGACATGCAGTCCACTGATTGGACAGAGAAAAAGGCCAGTCAAGAGATATCATCCTTACACTATATGTGACCTGACCGGTACACCTCCCTAGAAAGTGACCAGAAGGCATCCAGAATCATCCTCAATTGGCTTCTGTTGATGTGCAGAAGTAGTGGCTCTTCTTTCCCACAATTGTGGGGAGAAATCCCAACGGTAGGTAGACCCCAACCACTTGATGTACAACTTCTTCTTAGGAACTCTTCCTACAACTCTTCTGGTGAAGGGATTCTCAGCCAAGAGAAATCATCCTTCCAGTATCAGACATGGCCAGAACACCTCTCTAGAAAGGTGAGTAATTTATGCAGAAATTAAAATAAAAACTGAAGGGTTGAAAGCTAAAACTGAAAAGTTGAAATGTTAAAAAGTATTAAAAACAGTAAAAATCCATTTTAATCTATTTAATTACTTTTTAAAGCTGGAAAAAGCCATTTTAATTCAATTATTTACTGTCAAAGCGTTTTTTTATGAAGGCATTTGGCAGCAATTTCATTCCATAACATTGAAAAGAATCTCAGGATTAATAATCACTGTCGAATTGAAACCATTTTGTAAAAGTAGTTTCTTTGAGTATAAGTATATTGAGTATATTATATAATAAAAATTAATATATCTTGTAATATGGACAATATTTCTTGTTTGGACTTTTTCCAAGGTTTCCGCTTAGTCTTAAAAATTTAATTTTAGGCCTTAAAAAGTCTTTAATTTAATTAAATTTGTTGTTCTGTGTCTCAATTTTTCACAGCTCTTCAGACACTTCAGAAGTTGTGTGCTTGAGACAGAATTCCCAGGATGCTCCGCACGAGACAACTTTTTAACAAAGATGGCTGCCAAAGCAACCACAGATAAAGTAATTTTTATCATTTACAAAGGTTTTAATGTTATGAAAATCATTTTATGGAAGTTTTTATGTATAAAGAGATGAACCTCTTTATAAAACACAGCATTTTTACATGTTGTAGAATGAAGAAACCCATCTTTAGTGTTTAATGTCATAAGTGCAGATATAGGCCTAAAAAAGTTATTTTAAATCACAAAAATGTGAAACATTGAAATAAACAACCAGAAGTTATGGACAGAAGTTTTTGTCGATTCTAAAGTTCTTTTAAGGTGTTGATAACTAATGATATTTCAGGAAACAAAATAAACGAAAACAAAATAAAAATTAAAATTTTTCAAGCTACAGGTATACTTTACATTGCTTGTATGCAATATCCATTTTTATGGTGATTTCAATTTTATAGTTAATTTATGGCATAATTAGATAAGCCTACAAATGATATCAGTCTTACATTTGATTTCTGATGATCTTAAGTCTTTCTAAGAGAAGGTTCATTGGTTCTTATCCGAGCTAAGAACTTCAATGAAGCCTCGTTAAATACAATCTGATTAAATTTATTCATTTCGGAATGTTGTTTCGGTTAAACCTCTAAAATTGTTCTAATAAAAATCTTTTGTTTGGTGAATTATTGATATTGTTCTGCTTCAGTTTCACAGATGAGCAGAATGAAAATGATTCAAATGAAACATTCACGAAGTCTTGCAGCGATAACCTTTATTTGACATGACATTTGTAGTGTAAAGCACATATTACGAAACTTTACCCATAATTCCCGAAGTTTTGCCCATCGCCATCTCAGTATAATAGCACCGTTTGAATTATGTAGCAGCATTCTTTGCATTGCTGTGGAAATCAATATGGTTCGGGAAACTTCATGCTTGGTTGCTCTAAAGAAAAGGTCGCCCAGAAATGAAAATGGCCGTTACATACTCCTTGTGAAAATCTAAAAGTGGTAACAGAAATTGGGATATCGGTCTGAAAAGGCTTCCTAGGTTAATGGTTTCAACTGGTGGTGGTGGTGGATTCATGTAGATTTTGTAAACTGCAACCGACAAGTTTTGCACTACAACTTATTGGCGCACATCCTCTTCTTCCTCGAGATCGTCTTCTTCATATTCGCCCATTTCATCTGCTGTGGCATCTTGGTACTGCTGGTACTCTGAGACTAGATCATTCATGTTGCTTTCGGCCTCTGTGAACTCCATTTCATCCATTCCCTCACCCGTGTACCAGTGCAAGAATGCCTTACGCCTGAACATGGCCGTAAACTGCTCTGAAATTCGTCTAAACAGCTCTTGAATGGCTGTGCTATTCCCAATGAAGGTAGCAGCCATTTTGAGCCCTCGTGGTGGGATGTCGCACACGGCCGTCTTGACATTATTGGGGATCCACTCCACAAAATAGCTGCTGTTCTTGTTTTGAACACTCAGCATCTGCTCATCCACTTCCTTCATGGACATGCGACCTCTAAAAATAGCTGCTACTGTGAGGTAGCGTCCATGGCGTGGGTCGCAAGCCGCCATCATGTTTTTGGCATCGAACATCTGCTGTGTGAGCTCTGGGACGGATAGAGCTCGATATTGCTGGCTTCCTCGACTTGTCAAGGGTGCAAACCCTGGCATGAAGAAGTGGAGGCGAGGGAAGGGCACCATGTTGACTGCCAGTTTTCGAAGATCGGCATTGAGTTGGCCTGGGAATCTCAGGCAGGTCGTGACGCCGCTCATGGTGGCAGACACGAGATGGTTCAGGTCACCATATGTAGGAGTGGTGAGCTTCAGAGTGCGAAAGCAAATGTCGTAGAGTGCTTCGTTGTCGATGCTGAAGGTCTCATCTGTGTTTTCCACCAGCTGGTGCACAGAGAGCGTAGCGTTGTAGGGTTCCACCACAGTGTCAGAGACTTTGGGTGAAGGCATGACGCTGAAGGTGTTCATGATTCGGTCGGGGTACTCTTCGCGGATCTTGCTGATGAGTAAAGTGCCCATGCCAGAACCGGTTCCTCCACCCAGGGAGTGAGTGAGCTGGAATCCCTGGAGACAGTCGCAGTTTTCAGACTCCTTCCTGACCACATCCAGCACAGAGTCCACAAGCTCAGCGCCCTCGGTGTAGTGACCTTTGGCCCAGTTGTTTCCAGCCCCACTTTGACCTGAAAGAAAACCAAGTTTCCCGGTTTAAAGACCGACATGAAAGACACAGTTTCTACCTTATGGAATGTTGTTTTAATGTTTCAAATCAGAAATTATTTCCAGACGGGTCACAGCATGGCCTGCTTCTCGGTTGGTTCCTCTTCATCTCAGGCAGAATATACAACAAATGGTTCCTGATCAATCCAACTGGATCTTTCCAAGTTAACTTGTGTTGGTTTTAAATTCTTCCCTTGAATGTGGTCATAAATCCTTGGAGGATGGTACTTGCTTTCAAACTCTCTCCAAAAATAGAGCAAAGGATGACACATTTTGAAACGTCTTCAATTTGAACAATTTAATGAAATGATGTGATAATTATTTTTAATGCAATTAACGAAAACGTTTCACTGCAATTAATGAAAGCTAGGTGACGAAAACGTTGTTATAGGAACACCACTTTACTGTTTGCAATGTTTTCGTAAACTAGTACGTAGTATAAAAGGCTTTTGGAGAAGCACAGATTTTATAGCAGGTGGCACTGATTCCCCAGTTCTCTATCCAGGCTTGTGCAGGATTCCTCCACTGTCCAAAATCATGCTTTGAAGACTCTGAATCTTCTTTAGGAGTGAATGGTTGTGCAAGGAACCAGTAAAGTGAAGGTGACATTAGGACTAAGTATGGAGTGACCCCTACAAGGAATTTGTGCTCTGCATTTTACCCATCCAAGTGCACACACACACACACACACACACACACACACACTGTAAACATATACCCGGGGCAGTGGGCAGCTGTAGCTGAGGCACCCGGGGAGCTGTGGGGAAACTGGTGACTTGCTCAAGGCCACCACAGTAATGGTTGTCACAGGTGGATGAGAGTTTCAACACTCATCCCACCTTCGACTCCCAGTGGAGCTGGGGATTGAACCGGTGACCTTTTGATCTCAGTCAGTCACCTTATCCACTCGGCCACTCAAGCAGAATCCATGGCTCATGACTTTAAAGGGCAGACTTTCAGACTCTCTCTTCACATGCCGCTCTGATTGCCTGGAAATTTTGCATATTCAAACATTTCAGAGCATGTATGAAATTAAAGGCAGCTTAATTAAAATTTGTATAATTTTTTTTCATATCCAAGTATTCCTGGTCTTGCGTATTTGCCTTTTGCTTATTTATTTATTTTTTTATTTAGCTCCTAAACGCCTAAACTATTCGTCAGTAAACAGGAAATTCACTATTTTCTTGCAATTACATAATGAAAGCCATGCTGCAAACCAAAGAGAAATGATTTCTAGCTGTGAAGCAACTTTGTGTGCAGCACTACATGAGTTTATCTTTGTCAAAAAAAAATATTTAACATTGTGCAGAAATATAGTTGTTAAACGGCAAAGCTATGAATTTATTTGGTGGGTTATCTGCAAGTTTCAGACTTGTTATGTGTATAAATCTCTTTTACTTGTCATTTTTTGTTGTATTTTTGTTATTATTCCACACAAAAATACTTAAAATTGATGGAACTAATGTGAGGCATGGATTTATAGCATTTTGTGGAAAAATAGCTGTTTAATAAATGTTTAAAATACAATGTAATTTAGTTTTTAGAGACTCATTGTGGTAGTTTGAAACTGTAATACATAGATTTCAGGCACACTCTTTCTTGGGGAGTTTAACATTTATGGATATCTAGTGTTTATTATAATATCTAAATACCACATCACTGTCTGTCACATCAGCTATTTGACTTGTAATTTAATATGTGTTAGAAGAGCAAGAAGATGGCTCCATTATTGCAATGATGGAAAAAATCCCTTGAATTGATGTTGATTCCAGTTAAAACATTCCTATAAACAGCTCATAGACGTATTGTTCATAGACGTACCAAACACAAAATTGTCTGGCCTGAAGATTTGTCCAAACGGGCCAGAGCGGACTGAGTCCATAGTACCAGGCTCCAAGTCCACCAAGATGGCACGAGGGACATATTTGTTTCCTGTAGAAAAAAAAAATAGGGTTGGGGTCACCTTTTGGATTACTCAGGGTTGTAGTACAATTATAAAGATTAACCCTTAGAAGTCTGGGGCCTTTTTGAGACTTTTTACTACTTTAAATTTTGCTATGATAAATCGACTTTGAAGCGTTTTTGTGGCAATGCTTAACATTTTTTTAATACAGCCCCAGCTTCTTTTTTTTTCATTACATCTTACAATAATTTCACAACAATCCTAAAATAAACTTTAGAGTATTAAATTGTCATTTTTGCCTCATATTCAGTCAAAAGACAAAAAGAAATTAATTAATAAAAAAAATCCATTAAAAATTAATAAATTCCCCCCAAGATGCAAAGACCAGGTCAAAATTATGTGATAATTGAATTGAAAAAAACCTAATAACACTTTTCCAAACACTTTTTGTGACAAAAAACACAAAAAAAGCACAAGTCATATCACAGGTATTATACTTTCAAGGGATATCACTTCTTCACCGCTACATGGCACTGATTTGGGATCTGTAAAATTAAACTAAAAGACAAATGCACATTTTTTTTTCGCATTTAATTTTCATTATTGAGCAAATGATGGTGTCAAAACTATTGTAATGTTCATTTAAAACCAAACATATCAAAACTAATAATCTTTTCGAAACCTACACATTATATTTGAAATCAAAATTAAACAATAGCTTGGTTGCGTCATTTCTAAATAATACAGTGCGTTGTTTGTTGTGTTAAGTAAAATCTATTAACTATTTATTCAAATTAAAGTGGTTTGATCTAAAGCCAATCAATGCAATCCCCTTTTTTTCTTACAAGAAATCAGACATTATGAAAATTTATGGGAAATGTGGTTAAAACATTCCCTTTCTCTGTTAAAATCACTTGGGAAATATAAGAAATGTTCAATTTCATAATGGGCACATACCGTAATTGTATCTTCAAATGTAAGTTAATTTTAAATGGCTCCAGGGGAATTAAGCTTGTGGTGAAGTGTCTGTGTTTAATGCACAGCTGTGCACTAATTGTGTCCAGTCAATCCCTGTGCGGTCAATAAGTCAGATGGGCTTGTGAATAATCAATAGCTAACAACTGTGGTCAGGGCTGCCCGAAAACTGGTAACACAAAAGCTAATGAATATTTTAAAGAAAGGCCACACCCTAAATTCAGCTTTATTGTGTAGTTCTATCACTGTGGGGCTTTGAAAAAGCAGATTTCTAAGAGTGGTCGACTTCTCTGATTTGTTTGTTTTTAATCAAACAACATAAGGTTTGGAAATTGCTTCTTTCTTACCAGTCGCCTCATTGTAATAAACGTTTATCCTCTCAAGCTGAAGTTCACTGTCCCCTTGATAACTGCCAGTGGGATCAATGCCGTGTTCATCACTAATCACCTCCCAAAACTGCAAAAGAAAAAATATAGAACAATGGATGAATATCATGCTCGGAAAGTGGAATAGATCTTTATTCAAAGTTGTTAGTGTTTCATTTCCAATCTGGATCAAAGAGTTCACTCACGACAAACTGGGTCAGATAAAAACAACCCCAATATTTGGGTTAACAAAAAGGGGGCTTTTCAACTCAAAACACTCCTTTAAAATAATACAAACCTTTATAAGGAACAAAAACTGAAATATCAATGCATTATTCATTCAATATTCTGCAAAAGTGTGCATTTTATTTGGAGAAAAGGTAAATAATGTATCAGAGAGAGTTTGTGAGGATAAGTTAATTAAGTAGTAAAAATTATGTAAATGATTCTTAAATGGAACTAGATTAACCCAGTAGATTAAAAAAAAAGGTTGAAATGCATTTCTAATGGATGGGATCAAACTTCCACACAATAATTTGTCATACATAAAGCTATTTCTATAATCAATTTTAATTTGGCGATTGAAATGTTCCTCGCGGATCTCTTTATTGTTGACGAAATGTTAAGAAGAGAAGAGTGGTCTCACTGCAGACCATCACCACACCCAGTGACACAATGCTCACCTTCAGCCTTCTCCTTCCCTTTAGCCATTCAAAGTGATTTAGCATTTTTCTTCTTTTGAGAAATGTATATTTTTGTTATTCTAAAAGCAGTATAACCATAAGAATCAAATAAATGATCTTACCTTGGCACCAATTTGGTTGCCGCACTGGCCGGCCTGAATGTGCACGATTTCCCTCATTGTCGCGTGGCTTTGCGGTACTGATGCTCCAAGAGAGTCTGTGTCTGCAGCGGTCAGCGGACTCGTCTCTCGCTCACTCTCTCTCTCTTTCTCTCTCTCAGCCAATCAGGAGCCGCTCCAGTGACGCAGTGCGATGCTGCAGAGCTGACGCGGTGACGAAACGCTGATTCAACCGTCACGCGCTTTAAACGTGCTCATCAAATAATCTAGAACTCGAAACCGGTTATCAAAGCATTACTAGAACTTTTAACATTTGCAATTGTAATAAAACTTTGACAAATAGTGTTAAAATTCCTTTCGCTTTTTTCGCACATACAGCTTCTCAAAAAGCTAGAACTGTGGAAATTATACATTCTATACGAGTTGAACTTCTTAATAATAGAATACTTTTATTATTTAAAAAAAAACTCCATTCATAAATAAATATTTCTTAGAACTCCTAAAGAGCAGACTTGTTTACTGATGCCCTTAAAATAAGGAAGAAAACAAATGCTGTAAAGTTGTATAACTTTTTGGACCCTTAAATGGAACTAGATTAACCCAGTAGATTAAAAAAAAGGTTGAAATGCATTTCTAATGGATGGGATCAAACTTCCACACAATAATTTGTTCTACATAAAGCTATTTCTGTAATAAATTGTAATTTGGCGATTGAAACATTTGCAATTGTAATAAAACTTTGACAAATAGTGTTTAAATTCCTTTCGCTTTTTTCGCAAATACAGCTTCTCAAAAGCTAGAACTGTGGATATTATTATTCAGTTGAACTTCTTAATAATAGAATACTTTTATTATTTAAAAAAACTCCATTCATATATAAATATTTCTTAGAACTCCTAAAGAGCAGACTTGTTTACTGATGCCCTTAAAATAAGGAAGAAAACAAATGCTGTAAAGTTGAATAACTTTTTGGACCCGCACAACTTGCTTTAATCTATGTTGCACCACTCTATTGACTTTTATTATTATTTCACTTCTCACTTGTCCTTGTTTTATATGGAATTAAATTTGATTTTAGGCCTCCATGTCTGAATTGTACTTGGATTGTTGTAATTAGAAAAAAAAAAGTTTAGAGATTCCTACGGTGGCCCAGAAGTGCAAGTAATACCGAAATCAAATCCACGTTCAAAACACAATAAAGAAAAAACTCAACCCAAACATAAATTCAAGACACAAATAAAATATTGACCATACAAGTATAGAAGTTGATAATTCCAAAACAGAAATTACTGTTGTAAACAATTTTATGTGCATGTTTTTTATATTCCTAAACTTTAAAATTAATTTTTTTATATATATTGTATTTATTCTTTTAATAATTCTTTTGGTACTCTTTCTTTTTATGGAGGGCTTTGTCACGATTTTGTATTTTTGATTCATATTAATTCATAATTATTCACATGTGAACTGGAGCTCCAGTGCAAACAAGAACTTGGGATTTGAAGGGCCATATAGTGAGTATTGAGGAGAAACCAGTTCTGGTTGTCAGTTGGGTGGCACTGTACTGGTCTCGCAGAAGCAGGAGTTTCTCCACTGGATTCCAGTGACACGATGGTCACTGAACCAGAGATTGTCTAGGGGTATGGTACATCAGAAGCAACAATAAACCTCAGCACAAGAGAGATACATCGTTTGTATAAAGCAAGTGTGTCTCACATGGCTAGCGGTCTCGGGCGCAGTGAAGCCAAAAAGCAGAGCGCCCCCATAGTGCTGACTGCAGAATAATTACAAAATTGACCCAACACAAGTCTATGGAAAAAAGCTAACTTCCTCCGAAATTACGTTATTTACACAAACTGTTTTAATGATTTTCTAA